TTCTGCAGATTCATTTCAGCTATCCAAAAGGAGCAGGTATTTTGCAGAGGTGAGTACCACAGCCTAGTTCTGAACTCTGCAGGATGGCATCAGTTGGAATACTCTCTGCTCCATACTTCACCAGACTAGCATGTACATATGCATGTACGTATACGCACCCTTCAAAACCCAAGATGATGAGCTTTAAAACAGAGGTGTTTCCACTTAAATCCTTAGGAAGCTTTTGGTTGTTTTGCTAGCATCAAAAAACATTCTGAGCAGAGAGCTACTTCACACTTCCCTCTGCTGCTAAGACCCTGGCATCCTGTTCCAAACCAGTATGTCTTTTAAAGAACTTACTGGAGAAGGACACAGTAATTGAAGACTGGAGTAATCTTAACATATACGCCTTCATCTGCACTAGACACCCAGGCAGTTCAAAACAGCTAAATCTTGTATGCCAACAGAGAGAGGGGCTTGGATTGTTAGGACAGAATTTTCTTCTTCTATGTAGTTCTGTGCTCCTCTCCCATCTTGCTGGCTACCGTGGTAATTATTGCAATTAAAAAAAGCTGACTTCTTCCAAACCAGTATTACTGTAGTTAGACTGGCCGATTCCTTCACAGATCAAGACAGATACAAGCAGCTCCACAGTCAGAAGATCAGTATTCAATGTGTTTGTGCTGTTGTTTCTGGCAGGTCTAGGAAGCAAGAATCTTGTCATGGTTCATATTATTCGGAGGCCTTTCAATTCCTTACGATGTTCAGGAAGGTTATGGGATTAAGTTTCACAAATTTAAGATTTATTTTGTGATTTAAGGTTAAGAGATTTGGGATTTAGGATTTATTCTGAATACGAATTTTCCCTGCTAGACATGAAATCATCTAAGGAACAAATGGAATGTTCAGGTGCCAAAGTAACACAGAGTGTTTTAAAATCTAAATTTATCATTTTCCTGATGGAGACTCACTGCAACCGATAAATGGAGGCAGGTATCTTGTACAGAATTAATGACTGGGTCTATCAAACAAAAATTCCTGAACATTCCTAGAGCAGCCAGCTGCTAAAATTTGATCATACCACAATAAAGTGACAGCTGACTTTGACATCGTTTTTTTTTAAAGAAATGCACAGCTATAGTACTAGACAAGTATACCAAACAGTTAACTGCCCAACTTAGTAATATGACTAGTGACCTATATAATGGACAAGGATTTAACATAGACTGAAGAAAGTACCATGAAAACCTCATCAATTGAAGGTCTAATCCAACCTGCAGGGAATGGCGTTGGGCTTTAAATAATAATAGTTGTATTGTCATGCATAGTAGAAGGGTTAGATTTTCTAAATTTTTTTCAGAATGCTGGAGTACAGTAACAGAAAAAAATGTTTTATACTCCTGAAATATTTTTTACATTAAGAGTGCAATGCTTGAGAATGTAAATGCACAGGATGTTAAAGAAATACCAGTGTAAGCTTATTGTAATTTTCTTCAGGAAAAAAATCCTGTAAATTATTGTACAGTCAGACTATATGTTCACCACTTTGGATTCTAAATATTTAACGATTATCATCTTTCTGCCATACAATTATTACATGCACATTCTGAAATTACTGCCAATTTATAAATTTTTACTACTGAAATTTAGAAATGAAGTAATGTATGGGGTTATAAAGCGAATGTCTCAATGCAATGATTCACCGTATTTTAGAGCAAGGCCTCATTTTTCTGGCTTACAAATCAATGGTTTCTAAGACCCCTACACAGGATCGGCTATGTTTCTAAAGCAGCATATGAAAAGTGATAATACTCAGTAACAGAGAGACAGTCTTGAAAAATCAGGGACCAACCCAACATTCTGTTAACATTAATTTTATAAAATACCTTACAAGAACAGATAAAGAGCTTACATAATAACCAAAACTTAAAAAGAATGTTGAATAAAATATAAATTAATTGAACACATCACTAAGTTTGCCACATGTTAGACAAGTTTATAAAAGGCATTTTCAGATAAAATAGTTATTTGAAAGAAAATCCTTCAAAATGGAAACTAATGAAGTCCTTTTTCAAGAAGTCACTCCTAAAAGCGCTCAATTCCAGGTCAACAGGTAGTACCTGAATTTGCTTAGAATACGGTGTTCGTTTGCTTCAAAATTTGTCAAGCTTTAAGACACAAATTTAAATGTTTTCAGGTCAGAGTCATCAGTGCAAAGTAAAGCTTCAAGCTGAAAACGAGAGAAATATAACAGAAGAAATGATCCTGGTACAAAACTTCCTATATTCACATTACGAAAAAAAACTGTGCCAGATGCACTCTTCAGATACTAAACATTAATAAATTTTACCAGTGGCTTCCAGCCAAGCCATTAACATGGCTAATCATATTAAATTCATTTATTTTGTCAGTATTACAATTTTTTTTCCACTCATAGTCTTTGGAAAAGATCCATGCTGTTGGTGTCCACTTACTTTACTCAACTTCCGATTCAGCCAATTTGCTTAAAATGCAGTAATTTAACCAAAAGGAGATAAAAGGTGAGGCCAACAGACATCAGAATGATAGTCTAAAGCCTGAAATGGCATTTTATTGGAAGAAATATGGTAGCACATGTTTCTGAGTTTAACCAACTTTGTTCATTCAAGCACTCTCACTGAAGTCAGTCTTCCTTAAAGTTATATATGTGCAGAATACACTGCCAGGCTCAAACCCTTAAGTCTTTGAAAGATTAAAGTATGTTTAGAGAACTATGTTTTTAGAGAACTAGACTGTAGCCAGATTAACTTCTTTTAAGCCTATTAATTCCTGCGTAGTAAACATCAACACTCTAGCAAAGCAATTTCGCTCTGTTTGACTTTAAAACTATTAACCAAAACAGGTTTCAAATAGTCTTCACATTCCACCATTTAGAAGTGTTATTAGAACACTCATTTAAAGATTAATGGAACTTTTTTCAAGTTACCGCTCAGAATATTGCTCATCAAGCTTTTTTTAACACATACGAAAAAAAAAAGAAGTGTCACTGGTGGTCATAACCAGAAAGGAGAAGGAAAAATTTAAAAACCTTAATCTATCAGGCAGCAGTTCCAGACTCTAATTGAAACATAAGGCTGTCATTTATACTAAGCTGCTGCATAAAAATGAGAAAATGAGTTCTCCATTACAATTCAAAATTTCAAAACTCAATCTGCAGATTGTTTGCTCATCCTTGTAAGGCGTTCTTTTTTCACTGTCATCATTACGATGCTGGCAGTTATGCTAGAACCTCATTTAAGTAATTCCAATACCACCACAGTGTTTAATTTAATAGTATGAATCATTTTGAATTTATAGTTGGGTAAAATGCTAGAGTGATGTTGTAAACAAACCAAATGAACAAGAGGGTTCAAGACTACACAAAACTTTCCCCCAGAGGAAAGATATTTACTTGAACTAAAAGCACAGAATGTAACTTCAACCAAAACTTTTCATAAGCTGTACTCAAGGAATGAACATTTAAAGGAAGCTGCAAATGCCCTTTTCTAGGGCATAAACTCAGAATCATTTGCTTAAATCAAAATGGAACAGCAGCTCTTCCCTATACCCTGAATTCTCCTGATCATCTTTTATCACTTAAGCAGATTAACGATATCCATACTATGCTTTGTGATGCTACAAAAAAAGCTACCAAAAAAATTATTTAATTAGTTTTAAGAATAAATTTCTTTGATGAAATGATGGACTTTGAGATATCACAGTAATTTCTACTGGGTGTTCCCCATTATTTTGAATCCTGCAATTGAGCCATTTGCTGTCTTTAAAAAAATCTTTAAAACAAATGCTTTGGCTGCTGAGATCTGATTCTGTAAGTGTTGTAACTTTTACCACTTGCTCTGAGTGAAGGAGAACACTGACAGCTGAAAAGGAACAATAAATATATACCTCACACCCAGCTTAGCACACTGAAAATTCTCATACACTGGTTACATTTCAAAATGTGAAAAATGTTCTAGCTACCACATGGTTTTATCTTTTCAACAGTAATAAAAGAAAAGGAGATTTCAAAGTTTCCTAAAAAAACAAGAAAGCAGCAATCTTAAAGATTATTCTGGAAATATTTGGACTCTTAACTTTGAGTGTACTAAGAACAGAGTTGTCTTCTCTCTCTCTTTTCTAAAATCGGGAAGATTTTTAATTTGGCTTGCATCAATTTGGGCTCAAAAATAAAATGTCAAAGCCTGGAGCATCACTAACCACGTAAAGCAAAAATGTATTTCCAACTAAGCAGCTGGAAAGTGAGTGAATGAATTTGGGTATTAAACACATACGTGAGAATAAAGTGTACAGAGAAGGAGGTTACTAGAGAACTTTGCAAAAAATATTGCTACAGTAGCATTAGGAATTAACAGTGCATCAAAGATTTAAAGTTTCCATGTTAATACAAACTGATCCAAGCCACAATGAACCATGGGATAATCACTCAAACAAAAAATTAACCGCATTCTACTTTACAGAAGCTAGAATTTACCTGAATACCATTAATATGATTCAAAAAGATTCCTTCTAGTCTGGCATGCCTCAGTTTACATAAGTCATAGAGAACTGGTGCCATTAGTGTGTAATCAAAACACAGTATTATAACGTGCATTTGGCTTTTTTGAACATTTGCAATCAAATACTCAAATTTGAAAGAGCTTTTACATGTCAGAACTCAGTATCATTGCTGCATGAAGTGTTTTATTTGTTGGTTGGGATTTTTTTGTGAAAACTGTGTATAAAAGACCTTGAGGACTACAGGTCATGGAATTCATGTTAAACAAAGCTGCCCAACATTACTGTCAAAATACCTTTAAAAAGGCAGTTCATAGACAGAATAATGCATTTTACATTCAGGTATTTCCTCTCTCAAAAGCAAAGGAATCTCAGAAGAAAAAAAAATCAGTAGTGAAGGCCACATACTTTTTGCATTTGATGAGCTGAAATGCAAAAAAAACAATTAAAGCATCTTGTAAGAGAAAAAAAAAAAAAAAACACAGAACTTCTGGAAAGTGATGATTTAGTTGATGGGGTGGTCAGCATGAAAACTGTTGGGAATGCTACAGCAGAACTGACCACAAGTACAAGGGAATATGAACAGGAACATAGTACAGGCGTCAACTAGAAAACTAACTTGCCAACTTGTAAACAAGAAAAAGCATTTCACAGATTAAAAGTTCTAGGGAAGTAAACTTCTTTAAATTATTTTGTCAGTTCAACCCTGATTTAAAAAAGTATGGCTAGCAAAAATACATAAGCCTCAGCATATTTATAAGTCTTGATCAGAGCAGCCATGAGCCTTTGATAAGTGGCTGGAAACAAACACCCTTCTACTAAGGATGGAAGAAAAATATTCCGTTCTCTTCTTTCTCTCATTCCTCAATCCACGCGTATATATGTAGAATTCACATGCTCCAAGAATATCTTGACACTGCTATAGATTGAGACGTGGTGAGACCGGTGGAGGAAAACAGACAAACTCTCTTAAAATACTACGGGCCACGTCAACATTATTCTGGGCAATTTCAAGTGCCCTCTTGACTTCTTCAAAGGAATAGCCCTCTCCCATAAGTTTTGCAATTTTTGCATCCACATTTTCCGTGGAACTGTCAGAGCTGTATGCTTTCCTGTGGTGTATTTCTGGTGCAGTCCTCCGAGGAAGTGGTTTAGGGGGTCTGGCTGGTGCTTGTGAACCATCTGTTTCAAATAAAGGAGATAGAAATCATTATAAATTGGCTTAGAAGAGTGTTATAGGTAGGTCAAGCCTCATAAAGCAGTTTTAATGTTTCTTTAGAATTTTACGTTTTAAAGATATTTTAATTCACTGATATATCTCATTTTAAAATTGGGACAGAAGGTGAATTCCTCAAGAACATCCAAAATGGAAATAATGTAGTGAAAAACTATTTTAATAATATGATAGGAACATGCAAGTTACAATCTGAATTATCCAAAGTTGGAAGAAAAAGAAGGTATGATGAAACAGCAAAGATATGAAAATAGCTAGTCAAAATTTTAAAGGCTCTCCACTCTCAACCCACAGTTTGAGAATTTTTTCTTAGTCTGTTTTAAAAAAAAAAAAAATTTGATCACAATTTTATTCAGGACTGTAAGTTGTGCAGAAGAGGAACCCAGCCAAATATGCCTGAGGGAGAAAAATCCTTCACTTACTGGTACATCTTGCAGATTCTGTTCCATCAACTGCAGTTCATTTCATGCATAGCAGCTATGCTTAAGTACAGAAATAACTGGTTTCTCAAAAAAACCTATAGTCCAATTATTTTCAGTGGTGAGAACAGAACACGATCCTTTCTCTCCAGTCCCCTTTAGAAATATCTCCCCTCTCATTCTCTTCTATGGAAATGTTATGTGCCCAGTTAATGCTGGTGCTAAGAATCACGATGTGCTGATGAAAAAAGCTAATATTCAAACTTGCTAATCTTCTCAGAGTCAAGAGTTTCATGCTCAAGTAAACTTAGTACTGGACTGAAACCTCTTTATACTCGCCGATTCCACATAAGAAGCTTCAATACAAGCAGGCATAGAGCAGAAAACACTTTAAAGAGGAAAGCATTTAAAAAAAAAGTCTTTAATCTTTCAAAAAGGGTTCTAAAAAGTTCCATCAACAGTGACTTTGATAGATAAATTAGTGGAATTTCTGGCTGTGATACTTCCTGTTGACTCAAACTGACAGCAATGGCATTTTGCAGTGTTAAGTACTTCAGAGGCAGTTTTTTAGTGATGAAAGAATGCTGTATCTCTAGTAGTGCTGTTACAACATGCCACCTTACAATAACACTGGATAGAGAGAACTGTAATTCAACTAAGTGCATTAAACACTTCAGATGAATGAAAATAGTTCACATTAGTGAACGTCTAACCAAGGTGTATTTTTCTCTCAACTTAGTTTCCATGCATTCAGATGACAGCGTTGCTATAAATTTTAATCCCATTTCTTAATTCAGAGAAGTTAAGCAAGTAGTGCTTTTAGCAAGATAGTGATATTCATACAAGAAATGGATGAGAGTATGTCCTGGCTTCGGCTGGGATAGGGTTAAATTTCTTCCTACTGCTGTGTTTTGGATTTAGTATGAGAAGAATGTTGATAACACACTGATGTTTTCAGTTGTTGCTAAATGCTCTGTCAAGGACAGCTTCCATGCTCTACCAAACGAGAGGCTGGGAGGAGGAAGCACAGCCAGGACAGCTGGCCCAGCTGGCCAACGGGGTATTCCATACCATGTGACATCATGCTCAGCATATGAATGGTAGGCGTGATCCAGGAAGTACCGATCGCTACTTGGTTATCGGTCAGCGCGGGTGGTGAGCAATTGCATTGTGCATCACTCATTTTGTATATTTTATCATTATCATTATTATTATTATTTTCCCTCTCCTGTTCTATTAAACTGTCTTTATCTCAACCCACGAGTTTTTCTCACTCTTACCCTTCCGATTCTCTCCCCGTCCCACCGGGGGAGGGGGGAATGAGCAAGCGGCTGCGTGGGGTTTGGCTGCCTGCCAGGTTAAACCACGACAGAGTAATTTGATTAAAAATTTACAGTAAGGGACTAAGATCAATTTTGTTCTAATTTCATTGCTTATTTTCCCTGCAAATAGTTATGACACAATCTACAGACAGTAAGGGCTATTTCATATTTGTTATGATTTTTTCCTCTCTGAAGATGAAAAGAATTACATAAACGCTAAACATTCTAGTAAACACACCTGAAACAGATCCAAACCTGCTATGAAGGTGTGGAAGAACCATGAAACACACCGGTTGGAGAAATTAACTATAGCTCAGGAGATGTGGTTAATAACTAAAAACCAAATCAGAAACAAGTTCAAATTTCTCATTTCATTTATTTTAGAAAACTCAAGACTGTAACAGAAGAATATTCTTTATATTTAAAATAATGGTATATCATGTTAAAAACAATCTGTTTTCTTTCACAAACATTTCAGATTATTTTAATGTGCACATTTCGTTATGGACTTCATTTCTATAGAGGATGAAACAAAATTAATTTGCAAACTTTACATTTTCCCCTGGGCTTGAAGTACAGAAGAAATTCCTTATGCACAGATCAGATCTTTCTGAGTGTGTTTTACAGGAGATATTTTTTGCTCTACCCAGTCTAATACAGGCTTAAAACTGAAGTTATTTCTAGTATAAAACCTTCACTTTGCTGAAGCTTCCAAACAAACTTTCTTAAGCAATCGCATCATTTAGAAAGGTAATTTTTAATTCTGCCAGCAGATTTACAGCATAGGCATTTTATTCTCACTACAGTGACACCTCTCTATAGCACAGACGCTTCAAGATCTTCCGCCTTCTCTCTAACTCAATTCCCATTATTTTTTAAGCACTGACATCTCTTTCAATATCTTCCATCCACATAAAATTTTAGCTGAAGCTGGGTATCACATTGGATCCTGAGCTTAAAGATACTAAGTCTAACCTGCATGTCCATATGGACACCGAGATAGAGGTATTTAAGCAGGGCTTTCCTTCCCAACCTCCCATCCTCTCTGATGTTTCAGCCGCTGTGGATAGCTAACTAAAAATTCAAGTAGATTTTCTAATTGTGTAATTCCATTAACAGTTTCTACAGCAAGGAGCTTCCTCTATCACTCACATTTCTGTAATTCAGCACTAAATTTAACCCTTAGGTAACTGGTTAGTACAAAGGCAGAGACAGGCTCACTTAGTAAGTATTTAAAAAGCGTGGAAAAAGTTGTAAGCTGAGAGCTCTGTGGCACAGTGGGAGGAGGATATTTGTCAACTGTCTATTCCTCTCTGCTGTGAAACGGCCCTCTTCTTTTCTTCCCTTGTACGTTCCATGGTCTTTCACCAACAGACCGAGAAGCATCAGAGAACCAGGTGACGAAGGCTTGTTGTGCAAAGCCCTCTGTGGAGCAGTGGCAAGCAGCTACATCTAATCTAACTGGGGTACAGGGACAAAGCATACCCAGGGGACATCTACGCTAAGGAATTGACAGAGCAGGGAGAAAGTCAGAAAGGAGTAACCACACGTATTGGTCCATCTTAGGTATGATCTTCATATTTTGTACTACTGCAAGAGATTAGTCCCCTTAGGGTTAACTGAAACCCACCCCGAAATAACACGACACCCTCCCCCCAACATTTCCATGTAAAGGAATTTAAATTTGCATGCAAGAGCTTTAATAAGGCCAGGTGAGTCAACAGGCAGCAGAAAAATATACTTAACTAGCCATTTGAATCCATTTCTTGGAGAATAGCTAAATTTAGTAAAATACAGCAGACATCTGTATTAGAGGCCTAATTTTCTTCTACCTTTCCCACATATCATTGGCTGTGCTTAGGTAAAATATGCTAACGACTAGCAATATCTCCTTCTCTTGCTTTTATTGTAATAATTTTTAAAAGTTGTATTTAAAAAGTTTGAAAAACTATGCCTTTGGGATAGTTAGGTGCATAGTTGAGAACTATTTAAGTTTTCAATGCTAAATACATTGCTGAATTAGAATAAATTTCTCATTACATGTTAATGATTCAGTTAAACATCATGACATCGATCTTAAAAACAGTCAAACTGAAGCACAGAAGCTAAAGGACTCCCCATGCTACTCTAGGGAGCCAGTGGTTAAATTATAATTAGATTTTAGAGTGAACTACATTTCTTTTCCAGCTAGTTTAAAGAATCACCATATGAAAGGGCTGAAATGAAGAATTTCCTAAGTGAACTGATTAGTTCAGAATAAATGCAAAAACAAAAGTTCTGAATAGAGTTACATCTCTACATTGTGTTTTTAAATCATAGATGAAGGTGAATCAGTTCATCCTGAAGCTCATCAGTTCTGTTCTATGGAATTACTGCCACTGCAAAAATAAATTTCCAATTAAGAGTATGACATGATCTATCACATAGTTTTCATTTAATTGAAATTAAATTGAATATCTTGCTGTACATCATGCTGATTTAGAATGATATTTATAGCAAAGGTCAACACGTGGGTGTTTTAGAAGATGGCTGTGGGAAACATACGAATAGAAAAGTATTTATTAAGTGACATCAGAAAGCTCCGAGATCTTAAGGAGCAAACATCTTGCAATAATTTAGGAAAATTAAAAACTGTTCTACTATAGAATTGCAAGAATTGCAGGAAAACTCCATAGCTTTAAAAGGTAGTTATATTATTGTCACAATTTGTATTATAAAAGAATTTAAAATGCCCTAAATAAATCAGGTTAACATTGTAAGACAAGTAGATCCCCCACAGTGTCACATATACAATATGCATTATAATTTTTTTTTTTCCTAACAACGGGGGAAAAAAAAAAGAGAAACACTGTTATATTAGCAGAGGTATCCTCCCAAAAGTGCTACTATTTTACCAAAGGCATCACACTAATCCTCAAATGTGCTATTCATTAAAAATTCTGTAGCACTCTTCAGGCTTACTTAGTTTCCCCTGTACTTTAAGTTGGAAAAATGGATTCTTTCGTTCCTATACCACAGCAGAGATGAACTACATATTCCTAAGAAGGAGAGACATAACTACAATTAAAAAATGTATCATTTTCCACCTGTGGTTGTTGCAATTAAACACTGATGATCAATATGACTGAAAGACTAGAGAAATAAGTCCCTTCATTTCTTTATGCATTGAGTTTTCACGTGCAATTCACTCTGATCTGGAGAACAAATAATGGTTCAAAGCATCACTTGGCTCTTTCTTTGTGTGGTCTCCCCACACAGCAAAATGATGCAAGCGGGACAATCCTCCCCCCTCCCCATATACCATGCACATCTAAAGAAAAGAAAATTTATCTACAAATTGGTGAAAGTACTTTGAAATACAGGTAATACTTTACTGTATATTTTATATTTAATAATTATTTTAATTAATTTGAGTAGCTTTCTTTTAAATACTATTCGTGTTGCCTGAAAACCATAAGCAACATTTCTATGGCAGAGGAATTGCTCCTACTGTACCTGTTCCATTGCAAATGGAAGACTGAATTTTAATTGGTTTTGGTTCTTGTTGTTTTATTAAACAACACTTCAAAATTTTCTTAGAACTTCAGACAAACATATCAGCGAAAAAGATCAGAAAATAATAATACTTTAGAGAGTGGAAGTGAGATGCGTGTGGTCCCTGTAGGACTTCTGATATCTTGTAAGCTTTAAAGGTGGCAGAAAAATCTCTGCCCTTCTCAAAAAATAAGGAACACTAGAACTCACATAAGCATTCAGTTTGGCAGCTGGTGAAACTGATGCGATAATATCTACACCTACAGACAACAGGTAGCCACTACTACCTTTATTGCTGAACTTTAATCTGTTATCCTTTGATGATTTCGTATTTTTGTAAAGCAGTATTACCATTGCCATTTGTTTGCCTGGAATGACAAAAACCTTATTGGACTTTATGGATGAAAGTTATTTGCTTCCTTAAGTTGTAAGGAACAGTTTTCTACCTTACCTGAAGGAGGAGGAAGTTGATCATAGTCTTGAGATGTCCTATTTGTTTTGACGTTTTCACCAGTTACTCTACGAGCAGGTGGCAAAGGAACATGACCAGTTATTGGATCAAAATGGGGATCTATAATAACAGAACAAAAAAGGAGTCTTAGAATAATTGGGCTTAAAATAGCCTCCCTTCAGACAGAAGAGCCATGAATCCAAACAGAGATGTTCCCCCATAGCATACGCAGATATACATCCAAATTCAACACTTGCACAGTAGACATGTAGCTATGTCTTGAAGTGACAAAAACAAGAGCACAGCTCAAAGGTGGTTTATCCTGCACTGACCACGGCTCTTCTGTTTACATCCATGAGGTACCTTTCAATTATCCAACTCAGACACTGCTAGGACTGTGGCTGGCAAAGCATGGAAGAGGTTGCAAAGTCCGATGCAGCACAATGAGAAATATCCCAGCTATTCAGTTTGGTTAGAGCTTGGTAACACTTCTATGCTTTGCAGTTCACAAAGACCGCAGGGCAGATTTCCTATTCATACAGTCCCAGCTACAGGTAAATATTACAGGGACTGGTAAAAGGCTGTGACTAGGTTTTTCAGTTCTCTCTGCTGATTACAGGAAGAGAATTTAAAAAAACTGAGAGAAATATATAGTCCTGGCATATTGTGTCCTCTTTTTTTTTTTTGTGGTGGGTTTTTTTTTTGGTGGTGTTTTTTTTGTTTGGTTGGTTTTGGTTTTTGTTTTGTTTTGGGGTTTGGGGGTTTTTTTTGGCTATTGAGGATGCAGCTGAGCAAGTGTTAACATCATCCGGGACCTGGCTTCTGCACTGGACTCAGAGTGTTTGTATGTGAGTGTAACTTTTTGCCGTTGTTGATGATGAGATTATTATTCTAATCCGACAGGCTTTGATGGATAGCTGAGAAATCACCCCCAAGACTTGTATGGAAACCAATCATCAAAAACTCATCATAAATCATCTACAGCAGTTTATTTGACAAGATGCAAAGTGAGTAATACAGCTTAAGAAATACCGTATGAATAAAAAAAGACCAAGCCACACAACCAGGTATGCTTAAGTAGATGTACACACTTACAAGATTAATGAAAACTGCTGCTATAAGATTGTATTCACTATGCAAACATGAAGAACAATACATGGCCGTAGATACATTTTCCAGATTTTTAATTAAAAGCTATTAAATGTTTTTAACACTATCAGTGATGTTTCTAAGATAATTTGCAAATAACACTTAACAATATAAAACTCTGCATGTTTCTGGCAACTGCACACAGATCGATGGAGCTTGCGTGCATCTGTGTGTGAGGGCTTCTATTTTTCCTCTCCATTCCCATTAGAACTGAATGGCACAGCGTGTGTTTCTGCATCAGATGATACAATTGAGGCACCCATTCAGACTGGACTGAATAATAAAAACATTCCATAAAAGGTCATTTCAGTTCAACGTAAACTAGCTCACTTTCATCCCACAGCTAGTATAATTCACAAAGGTCAGCCAAGTGCCCGACAACCCGTCAGGCTATTATGGAGTTGCACATGACTGCTTGTCATTGCATTCCTGTAATACTATCGCCAAAACATTTCATTTATCTCTCTCCATACAGCTTCTAAGAAAAATAGATAGGAGGAGAAAGACATCTAACTGCACCACCAAGGTAGATAATCGCTGAAAATATTCCTAGGACAGGTAAACTTAAGACACCAACATCCTTTGGAAGCTTCCATAGAGAAAAAAAAAAGTCACTTCACAGGTATGCACTATAACCCACAAAAATCCAGTTGTAATCTGTACCATCAGCAGCAAATGTATTCAACTTAATTAACCTGACAATCAAACACTTTTCAACTCAAAGACAAAATTCGCAAGTTGTGAACATAGCTTTTATACCTTTTACAAGCAAAATACTGAACTGAAAAAGTGTCACAGTGATTCATGACTGTCCTGGTTTCGGCTGGGATAGGGTTAAATTTCTTGCTAGTGCTGTGTTTTGGATTTAGTATGAGGAGAATGTTGATAACACACTGATGTTTTCAGTTGTTGCTAAGTACCCTCCTAGTCCAAGGACAGCTCCCATGCCTACTGACTGAGCTAGGTACACAAGATGGGAGGGAACATCATCAGGACAGCCAGCCCAGCTCGCCAATGGAGTATTCCATACCATGTGACGTCATGCTCAGTATATGAATGGTAGGCATGATCCAGGAAGTACCGATCGCTACCTGGTTATCGGTCAGTGCGGGTGGTGAGCAATTGCATTGTGCATCACTTATTTTGTATATTTTATCATTATCATTATTATTCTCCCTTTTCTGTTTTATTAAACTGTCTTTATCTCAACTCACGAGTTTTTCTCACTCTTACCCTTCTGATTCTCTCCCCGTCCCACTGCAGGGCGGGGGGGAGTGAGTGAGCGGCTGCGTGGGATTTGGCTGCCTGCCAGGTTAAACCACAACAATGACGAGAGAGAGGTGAAAAATTTACTTATCAAAACTGTTACAAACCACAGACACCTGCAACTGTGTTCACAATTAATACAGTTTTGCAGCAAAATTTTACAACAGTTCTAACAAAGCAGGATGTTCTTTTCCCTTATTTTCTAGTATACTGTAGAAAACAATGGAGTTGACAAAAGGATACAGACTAGTATTACAGATGACAACAGAAAATTTGGCACTTCACAAGTAACAACTCTTACTAGAAAAGTACAATTTACCAAAATGTCTAGCCTGGTATAGAAATATTGACCTTATTTCATTACTTTGTGATAATGAAAAGTAAAGTCTTCTAATATTCTGAGTTGTTTAATCTCTACCATTAAAAAAAAAAACAACTATTTTTTAGTATTTTGTATAATGAACTATAGACAAACAGACTTCTGAAGCCTGATGACAACTTTATCACAGAACAGATAACCTTCTGAAGTAAAGAAAAAGTAAACAAAATACATTCTTTCCTTTGTATTCCTACCAGAATGCAGGAACAGTTCCTGTCCTGAAGGAGGTCGGCTTCCTGAGCCAGCAGGTTTTGTGTGCTCAATCATGCTGTGCCGAGCAGGTGGTGGTGGTGGTGGTAGTGAAGGGGGTGAGCTATCAAACGCATCTTCACCTGCATTTTAGAAAAGAATTATTAGATGAGCAAAACTTCATTAAGAACTGTAGAATAAAGAGTGAAGCTTAAAATTTATCTTTCTCTGGCTGCTGAGGCTGTTACTCCTAGGGTTCGTCTAGCAGTTCAGTGACTCCAGTAATGAAATTGTAAACCCGACTCTTACTATGCACAATCCTCTTCTAAAACATGCTCTGAATGACCTTTTGCAGTGCTTAGTTTCTTTTCTGGGATGGGGGGAGAGATTTCTTTTAGTGGCTCAATTGCAAAGTGTGTATTATAATGAAAGCTTTCACTGAATATCATTGAAGAATAACAGCTATGTTTCAGTGGCTAAGCAAAAATATTTATATTCAAACACTAATGCTGACTGCATTGAATCTGCTACATTTAAATACGCATCATCTTTCTCCGCTGTTCTAAAGCTCTAACCCCAGATATAAACTGAATTCTCTAGGGCTTGGCAAAAGAATGTACCCCTTACACAAAGGTGGTGCAGACAGGACTAGGATTACCAAGCAGTACAATTTTTATGTGTTCTTCTGCCTTCAATTCTATGTACTGTCACAACTCAGGAACACTTCAGGGACCAGAGAGAGTATAGTGCAGGAACATGGCAAATGTTCAAAAGGTTTTATGGAACCAGAAAATTGGATGATAACACATACACTACAGTCTAGCAATCATGCAGCAGAGTTTGTCAATGAAGATGTGGGTGGTGGCCAAGCACAGCCGAGGTAGGTATGCAGAGCTCACTGACTTTTGTGTAGGAGAACAGAACAGAAATCAGGGTTGGAAAAGATAGCTTTTGTTGACTGTAGGCAGCAGTGAGTTTTGAACTGTCCCTTGATAGTGGAAAAAAAACCAGAAATAAGGCTTATTAATTTAATTTAGTTTTCTTCGACTTAAATACCACCTCTTTGGCATTCTTCTTCATATTTGATAAAAGAAATGGAATTATTTAAGGTACAATAGGAAGAACCCTCCATTGTTGCGTTAAATTGCAATGCTCAAACTTCATATTGAGGGACAAAAAAATTATAATTTATTTTAGGGAAAGTGGTTTTGCTTTTCTTTATAGTTTGACTACAGATTTCGTATGCCTTTTCATCTGTCTTGCATGAGGGCTTACACACAGATACCAAGAACAGACCATGGACACAAATATTGACTTACAGCTGTAATATTTAGCCCATAGCTTGTTTGGTACTCTGAACATATTCAACATCGGTTGTTTTTCAATAAACAGGGCATTTGGTTCATTTAGACAATGTTAACCATTAAATGTAATCAGCAAAAAGTCTGCAACCTAAAGGGGGCACCAGAAGATCATAATCGGAGGGTGTCCTGTTGAGCAAAGAGCTGTGTTTTGGGTTGTCTCTTGTAGGTGGTCGTGCAGGTGGCAAAGGTACCGGAACAGTAGGTGCATCATAGACATCTCCTGAATGACACAATCACAAGAAGTGAATGTTTTCTTGCTGTACCCCTAGAACAGCACAGAGTAAATTTTCTTGCTAAATAGTGAAAAATTAAAACATACCTAACTCTGGATGTTTTGATTTCTTCATCTCAGAAGTAGCACTGTGTGTCCCATTCGTTACTCCAGCACACTGACCATTCTCACACACCCTGAAGACAGACATTAAACAGGAAGCAATCAACCAGTTATCCAAGTATTAACTCCCACAATGACCGAGGACCTGAGCTGTCAGTCCATTATATGGAAACAAATGAAAGACGATAAGCTACACCAATTTTAAACTTTACGTTTTTTTATATTGAGAGCAGACACTGGTTAACCGTCAATAAAACTCCTTAAAGGATTATACTGCTTTCTTGGTGGGATACTGACATGGCCTAAATAACTTACTCAAGGCTGCAATACAAGATAGAGGAAGAACTACCATTAAACATAGTCCTCACTTCAGAGCTCAGGTCATTAGTTTATTCACACAGTTAAGTCACACACTCAATCCTATTTCTCTTTCCCAGCTGTTGAATTTTCCCTAGCAGAAATATGGTAAAGGGAAATGTGGATTTTGGTAATTATCCACCTGAAGTACACAGAAAAGTCATTAAACAAAATAAACCAAAACAACAACAAAAAAACCCCAAACAGAACACCGCAACACACCACTAGCAATAACAAATTTCAACTAAACTCTTAGCCAGACATTTAAAAGAAAAAAAAAAAAAATTGAACTAGCCAAAACAGTTTTGCAGGCACCTATTCATTTCTGTATCAAAAAGCTGAGTCTCACTGATACTTCTACCACAGTTCACTAATTTTTTTTAAAATGAAGTATATTACACCCTCAAAATTAAACAACAGTATTAAATTAAATTTGAACATCATCTAAACCAAACAGCACAAAGTTGCCTATAATCTTGTCAGAAAAATATTGGAGATTATTTTTGTAGGATGACTCTGTTCAAATACTGCAGGGAAAAACATAGAACAAAAGCCTTTTCATAATATTAAATATTGTTTAAATAAATGTGAAAGAACTGGGAAATTAATCCTGTCATTGGAACTGTGGACCCTGCATATTCAGAAAGAACCTTTTCTTTGGAAAAAGGCCACCACGCTAAACAATTCCAGCTTAAAAATAAAAATCCCAACCCACCATGCACCATTATTACTAAATACTGGCAAATCTGCTAGAGCTATACACAGCTAAAATTTCAGATCTTGGGTTTTTACCAATAGTAGGAACATTAATAAACGTATCAGCTTTGGCCATATGGAAAGGAGGGATGAATAAAGGTCTGGAATCATTTAAAATATATAAACAGGAAATAGGAAGTGAAATTGTGTTTGTGATCCCAAGAGTTGTAACTCGGAGTAATGAAATCAATGTAAGAATAATTACAAGACTTAAAAAACCAAACCAAACCAAAAAAAAAAAATAGTAAGAGCTATTTTGTTATGAATTAATTTCCCCAGGGAAGTGGCAGAGGAAGTGTTGTTTCTATCTTTGAAATTAGATTGGTTCAATCTCTCAAATGCAGTGGATGTAACACTTCCTTTAACTCCTCAGCATATACACTAAATTACTAAGAATATTTTCTACTTTATTTTGAGCCTATTCTGCATTTTCAATACGCTAACCAGCCAAAGGCACTAAGATAACTTAACATGGCACCACTTCAGAAGTCTTCAGGTCATAATAAGCCCAGTTAAGTGATCAGTTTACAAATCATGCTGAAATACCTGTTTACATCAACAGTAAACACCAGAAGAAGGGCAGCAAATGAGTACTAACAAGCAAGCCTTCTGTCCTTTTCTTTTCCTTTTGGAAAAAGCTTTATTAGGAAAAGATAGTGAATGTAATAATGTATCATTCTTCTAATAGCAGCCTAATTAGCAGTGCTGAAATTCTTTCCCTTCATTTTTCATTGCTGAACTTGCCCCACACCTGGGAAGAGATGATCAGCTGTAAAAAAACAGCCAATTAACTGATCTGCCAGAAAATAAGACTGTGAATCATTTTTTGTATTATTCTTGCAATATTTTTAGCATTGTCATATCTACTGGTAAAAGAACAAAGAGTCTTAGAGGCAATACAAATTTGGGGGTAGGATAGAAGAATGACACAGTTCCTAAATTACAAAACATTCAGAAGAAATTTTGTAGGCTCTTTCATTTACTTAAAACTCTAAGTATTATCCAAGAACTTAGGAAGCAACACTTACTAAAGAGATAGGAGAAGGTGACATTGGAGGACAGAACTGAAAAGTGCTAAAAATTTATGACAATTAAAAAAAATAATAAAAGTTGTTGTTAACAGTTTTGCTAAACAATACTGAAAAGTTAAGCTTTTATTGACACTCCCCTCCCCATGAGGTTAAAAGAAGTGCATTAAAAGAATACAGCATCAACCAGAATCAAGATTCTTTTTGAAAGCTTTATCTCAGCTTTCACATCTAAGCAGTCATATTAGCTAAAAGGAAACATTTTAACTATATGGAACATCATATATATTCATACACAAATATTTAATAGGATTTTCTTTTTTTTTTAATGCTTAGGAGAATGGCTTGTTTCGAGTTAAAATTCTTCTCAGAATACATAATAAGAAGAGTTGGTGGTTTTAATCATAGAGCAACCTGAATGGCAAACTGAGGTATTTTCTCTGTAGCAAGTCCTGGATTAATGCCAAAACACCTACCATAAGTGCAAGACAAGTACACTAGCTAAAAAATAAACTAAAAACTAGAAAAAACTTATAAATCAGCTTTCCATCTGCAGCCTCTATTAATAATTCTAATGGCCTGGTGAAATCGTGTACCAGCCAACTGAAAGCACTCAACTCCTTGTTCTGCAAAAGAAGGATACCAGAAAATGAGACGTTTCTTTTTTTTCCAGCTGGTTATTTTCTCAAGAATCTTTCAGGGTGCATCTAGGTATTAGCATTTTAGTTCAGGTCAGGAGTATGAACTGAAACAAATCTCCACAAGTCATCACAGCACTTCAGTTTACATTGCAGAGAGGTCTCAGAGCATGCAGACTGAATTGCTTCTGGATGATGTTAACTCAAAAGATGTCCTGCAGGAGCTCATCCTATGTGCTGCAATTACTAAACGGTACTCCAGGCACAGGACCATGTTAGGGATAGTCTGAATCCAAAACTTCCCAAAACATACAGTGTGGATGTGGGGTCCTTGGAATCAATTGGTCCCCTCTACAGACCCACTCCTATTGCACCACACTACTTACTAACCTAGGCATAGCCCTCAGAAGCTGCTAAACCAAGGCAATCTGTTCACATACTGCTCGCTTCTGTTGCAGACGACTTCTTGTCTAAGAAAGGTTACATCCTGAGTAACTCCAGTCATGCAAGCAACTCAGCCTCTATTAGATGACTTCGCGTGATACAGAAAGACATTCCCATGCAGAAGCACAACACACTTAGATAAAAAATGGCATAGGTAAAAAGGATTAGGACCTTGGAATTTTTTTTTTTCCCTTCCCATTTTTTTGCTTGGCCAACATTTGAGTTTTACTCATCATTGATTTTTTTTTTTTTTTTTAAAGTCTCATAGGGTAGATAGGAATTTAAGTACTCAAGACCATAAAGCTCAAACAACTGTGTAATATTCACAGCTATGCAGTGAAGGTTGGATCAGCATTTCTAATAAAGACAGAATTTTTAACCTGCGTGCAAGGAGTGATCAGACTATGACCTTTTTTCCACCTCTTCTAAATGTCTGATTAAAGAGGTCTAAAAATTGTAATTGGCTGATTTTGGGATGAGAGACATGTTGAGCTTTATTGATGGTGGGTCCTTGACATTACATAGTGACAGAAAGAGGAAAAAATGGCAGTATGTCACTACATTTTTTTAATAGCAGAAGAGTCTGAACTTTTTAGATCAATACTTATTTTAGTATCATACTTTTGACCTACAAGACCAGTAGAGAATTGGCCCTTCTTCTTCCCAAGACTTATTCTTTTAATTCCAGACTATCAGATTTTTTTTATGAGTCAAAGACCAAGAAGTTCACCAGGAATGACACAGCCTTCAGTTGCCATGTCCCTTGGCTCCAAATCTCGTTGCCATAATCTGTTAATAATTTAGAACTGTGACAGTTTGGAGATATTATTTTAGAACATGCTTAAACCAAAAGAGATATATTCCATCTGAATTTTAAAAAAGGCTCTCCTCCTGGGAAGCACAAAGAAAATATACTGTGAAACAGGCTCAAAAAGCCAAAAAGACATAGTACACATGGGACGAAAAGAGAATAAAAGTATGTACATACAGCTGCCAATTCACATATTTTTCAGTACTGCGTTGCTTCTTAAAATGAATCATATAAAATGTGAAAGTTTAAGATTTTCAAAGCTGACTTTGGGAATTTCAGTCACACAATTCTCCTAAAAATTAAATTTGCAAGAGTTGTGGGAGTTGAATCTCCTGGTCAGTTCTGAAAACCTCAACCTAAGGGAAAAAAGGATCAACCGCAGAAATGGTATTCAAAAGCAAAATATACCCAGTTCTGTCACAACAGAGATACAATAGAGTGAACTTCACAGATTTATGACTGCGGTGGTGGTCAAATGAAACAGAGGCATAAGTAATCCAAGACTGAAAAGATAAGACATTTTAGAAGGCAGGCAAGCTTAACCATCATTATAAATATTGAATCCAGTTAAATTTTGGCAAAAGCAGAGGTTTTGTAAATAAGCTGCCTTCAAGGGTGCTAAATGACCTTACCGAGCAAGAGGTTTTATATTATGACTATGAGGTGGTTGTGAGCTCAGTATTACAGGATGTGAAGAAGGAACTTTGTATTCATCATCATCATCTGTGTGATCCCTTGATTTATCAGACAGAGAATTTGCTGAAGGAACAGGGCACCTAAGGAGATAAGAGAAAGATCAGTTTTGCTTTAACTGTTACATACTTGACCTAAGTATAATACAGAAAATACCCTTCTTTAGCCTAAACATCCGTAATACACATCTGCTACATATAAGGTAACAAAAACATCATGTCAAACTAAAACTTGTAAGGTTACTGGCTTTTTTGTCACTGAGAACGCATAGAGAAAAGGGCAGCTGACCTTCCAAGAGTTAAACAGCTACTTTAAGCAAGCACAACATAGCAAAGAATTGCAAAGAATTAGAGTACTAAATAGGCACTTACAAGGCTTAACCTGTTTGCGCTTATCAAAAGAACTAAACAAAAGTTAATTCAGGGCAAATAGTATTTAGCAGGGCTCAGTGAGGCAGCAGACATTGACCCTTTCAGTGAAGTCTTGTTCCAGCCATAATGTTATCGAACTCCCAGAATTTGCCTGTATTTTGAATTATTTTTACTTCAGACAATAATTGTCTTTAATTGTCCTCTCAGACAGTGGTTTGTATCACTTCTTGAAAGCAGTAGAAGCCCAGGAAAGAGGTAGACTTTACAATCTCCATTTACAGGTAACAAGTTCCATCGTGGAGAATACTGCTGGATATGAGATTTCTTTTAAAACAAAAAGCTAACTCCTACTATCTGGTTTTCTGTTATATGAGTGTAAACAAAATGATGGGCAAAAATTTCATTTTAGTGAGCAGTCTGGGGAAAGTAATTTTCTTAGATATTAACATGCTCATCATATCTTTTGGCCTTCATAAAATATAACTAGCTAGGTTATATGTCTAGCAATCGACTTCATCTACTCTTTCATACATAGAGCCCCTCCATTTTTAGCAATTACTCCAATACATTAAGATAAATAAACTCACAAAACATCGGAAATACAAAAGCTTACGTTAGGGACTTAATTTAACTTCAGCTTGATCATATATGAAAACCAGAAACAGAAGTTTGATTTTTAAACTAGCTGAACATGAAGGGCAGTAAGTGTGTAACTTCAAAAATCATCTGGAATCATCTGAATCATTACACAGTGAATAGCACCTTTATTCTTTGCCACAAAAAAGCCAACAGCTGGAAGACCTTGAATAAAGATGTGCAATGCATCCACAGCCATTTTGATTTGTGGCTGGAAAGTATGGCTAATGGCCTTGATTTTTAAACTAGCTGAACATGAAGGGCAGTAAGTGTGTAACTTCAAAAATCATCTGGAATCATCTGAATCATTACACAGTGAATAGCACCTTTATTCTTTGCCACAAAAAAGCCAACAGCTGGAAGCCCTTGAATAAAGATGGGCAATGCATCCACAGCCATTTTGATTTGTGGCTGGAAAGTATGGCTAATGGCCCCGAGCTGAACTACATGCTACATTACAAGACACATCTACTTCATACATCGTTTAGAGAAGTTCTTAAGGACTGTAAGGAAATATGAGAAGGAAGTGGACATACTTTCTCTTCCTGTGGTCTAATTAGTTTGATTTTATCATAAGGGCAAGAGCTGAAATGACAGGCCAGGCCTATTTCCTCATTTTTTCAACACAAGCAGCACCTGACTCACACAGCACACTTCTTCACAAAGGGAAAACATATGTCTTTCACTATGTACTGTAGATGATGCCACATCACTTCAGAACACGCAGGTACTCTGTAAACAAAAACAAATAACTAACTACCATGAGCACTAGCCAGTCACTAAATGAATGAATAAATAAATAAAGGGAGAAAGAAAAAGAACAGAGAAAGAAGGGGGCCAGATGTGCTGCTTTTGTTTGAATATATTCAAAGTCTAGAGCTCCCTAGATACTTGTAACTTTTCAGACGCTCTTTCCTTTAATCAGTAATATACTTTCAACTTCAGAAACAAGCTCATGAAAGATGGGAATCCAACTTCTTTTGCCAAGACATACTAATCAAAGACAGGGGAAAGATTTATGGCACTGAACTGCAAACTCTATATTGCAGTTTTCAACCACCTTCTGTAGAGGGAGCAAAATTTCGCACAGCAATGCAATGTGAAATTGCTTTTTCCATCTTTCATTTCTCAGATGCACAAGAGGTTTGTGTCACTGCTGTATGGCCATTTAAAGACCAGAAGGTAAAAATGTACCAGGACAATGAGAACTCTGTAGCATTCTCAGGTAGACAGTTGAAAGGCTCACAAAGAATAGATTTTCTCATTTCTGTGGACATGAAATCATTCTTACATGGCAATCCAGCATGTTCTGGAGATGTTTTTTTAACATATATATATTTTTATATATATAAAAAGCCTAGGTTTTTTGAAAATAATCACAAATTGAATTGCTGGCTTCTGCAGATAGCAATGTTTGAAATATTAATATCTAGACCAGAAATGTCCAATACTGACCAATACCGAAAGTCCAATACTGACCAAACCAGGTTGGTAGTATTGTTTGAAGCTCTCTTCAAAGGCTATTACTGGGAAAAAACCAACGAAAAAAACCCTTCTCTGAAGGCCCTATCTGAAGCTGGTTATAGGAGAGATTTTGATTCCTGGAATACTGTAAATTAAGTTAATCTTTTTAAGAAAATCTACAGAATAAAACTGAGAACCTGATCATCACACTAAGTACAGCTGGTCTTATCAGCTTCCTGATAAAAACAGTTCTCAGACAGGAAAGCTAGAGGATTTACTTACTGACAATTTACAAACTAAATAAATTTGGTATACTCAAGGAGTACCAAAAACATTTTCCCCTCTTCACCTAGTTCATGCCCCTGCTTTTTTTCTTATTTATTCAGTAGACACAAGAACCTAACTTATGTTATAACAAAGCTCCACCTTTATTCACAGGATACCAGTGTGTATACATATACCAAAATCAATTTCCCAAAATCATTGCACTGCTGAGAAATTGTTACTGGTTTGGAGCTATTATTAAAGACATAATTCCAAGCCTCCTGCTTCTGAATACTGTGTAGCCTTAGACAAG